ACATGTACAGTCCGCTTGAATAATTCCACTGCTGGATGATGACCTCCGCACACGTCTTGTGGGTCGGGTCAAGAGCGATATTTGACTATACTTCACCACGCTGGTCAGTGGGGTTTGTGGTGGAGGTGGTGGTGGGGAGTGCAGTACACCAATAGGGGTTTCTGCACTGCCAACTGCTGTCTACAACGCCCACAGCACCTTTATACTGCACGTGGTGGTGGTGGTCAACCCATCCAAAGCACTTCTGACACAAACCCTGCTTAGCTTACAAAATCGGAAAAGGCTGCGTGCATTGTGAGTGATCTGGTCAAAGGCTACGTTGACATCAGCACACTAACATTGCATACATAACACTGGTCAACACACTTTTTGTGGCATAAGGTATTCCAACGGTGTTAAGGTCATTTTGGGGTGCTGATGATTCCAAATCTGGCATCAGTTTTTGTCCATCACATCAGGTTTTTGAGATATTATCAAATATTGCATTTTCAATAAAAACGGCAGAATAAAAATATTAAATAAATGTGGATATCTACATAAAATGATATTATATGCACACTCTCCTAAAAATACAGCACCGTATTTTAACACTAAAGCAGTCACTGACTCGCAACAACTTGCAATCATAAGTGACAGAGTTAATTTCGGGTAAAATCAATGAAAATGGGGTATGCCGATAGCATAAAAAATAGACGTGATAGAGCAAATCTGAGATCAGATTTAGAATCGGCACCCTGAAATTAGCCTAGAACAGCTGCAACAGTCCAGGCCAGAAAAACATGTTTTTGTTGTTGTTGACCAGTGTAATTAACGCGGCTTGCAATTTAGGAAGAAATGCCGCATTACACGTAACAATGTCATGGTTTCTAGCACAGATTCTCTTCACGTGAGAGTTGGGGACAGACTAAAAGGGGGTTTGAACAAGGCGAGCCCTGGCTACCTGTGGCGTTCACCCTCTACACGATAACAAACGCAACGCAAACCTCACAGAATCCTGTCATTGTTGAGCAGCGTCTCTTAGGATTAGCACATGGCCAGTAGGCAAGGCAAGGTCAAAACAAGCTGACCTTTACCCGACCTTTGACCTCACCCCTCGGCACACAGACACCTTTACCCTTTGACCCCTCTGCAGGCAGTCGACGGAGAAGTGGCGGGAAGAAGGGCCCAGGCTGCGCACGTGTTGGCTCAGGCGAGGCCCGGATGTGGATGTCAGGGCCCCGGATGTCAGGGCCCCGGATGTCAGGGCCCGTGGACACGTGACGCAGGAGGCGTGGCCAGGGGGCGGGGCTCGGGGGAGAGAAGATGAAAGGGGGCGGGGCGAAGGGGTCAGTCACGTGACCTGGGTCTCTGTGAGTCTGTGGGTCTCTGTGAGTCTGTGGGTCTGTGTGAGTGTGTGTGAAAATATAAGAATAGATTTACCCTATTCTTATGCATTATCTTTCATTATCCTATGGGCATAAATAAAGTTGGGCCAGTCTGCCAAAATGTCACGTTATATATACATTCTTTCTCTGTTATGGCAGAAAAAGAACATGCTGTTCTCGTGAATCAACCTGATTTTCATTGCATTCGTTCACGAATGTAGCACCTTATACATGGCACAAAAAGACAGCTTGGTGTGGAGTCAAAAGGGATTATCCCAGTAAAATACGATCAACTCCACCACGACAGCGATCGCTGCGCACGTCAGCTTACATGAAGTATGATCTGTGTTTTGATTTAGTGCGCTGATCTTAAAGGTGCATTGAAAAATGTTGATACTCCGACTGATGCTCCTGCTGTTGTGGAGTGACTCATGCAGCCAGCTATGGCTGCAGGGTTCTGGTGGTACATGTTGTTTACGTCGTTTATTGTGAAAATTCGGTCACAGTTCCTATGATCACTGTTTCATTGCTTTTATGGCTTGATTTTGGTGATTTTCGAAAAGTTTTTTGGTTTGGCCATGTTTGTTTGTTGTAGTACAGAGTTAGACTGATGGCCTTAATCTAAGTTGTCTTGTGGTTGTTGTTGTTGTTGTTTGAATTGCATCCCACTGGGATTTTTGCACACAGCGTTGGTGTAACGGTGCTTTTTCTGCAATATTTTGCTGTCTTTTCTTGGATTTTCTGTTTGCACTCAGTCACATATTCACTTTAAGATGTTTTTGTTCATGTTTTTGTTTTTTGTTTGTTGAGGTTGCACCCGATTCAAGAGCCAAATGGCTCACAGGGCCACACCTAATACATGAACATGAACTTGAAGGTCCTAGTGTGGACACACGTTGACCAGTGTAAGAGGCGGGGGGGTGGTCACCTTCGGTCAACCCCCACACGCCTCAAGTTTCAAGTTTTCATGTATTAGGTATAGCCCTGTGAGCCATTCGGCTCTTGAATCGGGTGCAACCGCAACAAACAAAAAAACAAAAACATGAACAAGAAAACATCTTAAAGTGACTATGTGACTAAGTGCAAACAGAAAATCCAAGAAAAGACAGCAAAATATTGCAGAAAAAGCACCATACACCAATGCTGTGTGCAAAAATCCCAGTGGGATGCAAGTCAAACAACAACAACAACAACCACAAGACAACTTAGATTAAGGCCATCAGTCTAACTCTGTACTACAACAAACAAACATGGCCAAACCGAAAAACTTTTCAAAAATCACCAAAATAAAGCCATTAAAGCAATGAAACAGTGGTCATAGGAACTCTGCTGCCCCCTGTGGGCCCGTGAGCTTGGGTGCATCTAAGGTGACCTGCAGAGCCTTGCTACGGTACAACACGTGTACACACACTCACAGTTTAACACTCACACACACAACAACAACCGCCATTCGCCACTAAGTGGCGGTGACGTCACCACGACGCTTGTGCCAGGCCATGTGCACTTTGAGGCTACCACGTGGCAGGAGGAGGTCACGGGGCAGACCCAGCAGGTGTTACGTGTCAACTGACTGAGACAGTGGCTGATGCTACCACCACATTGTGGGCCCCTGCTGTGCCAACTCGCTGTGTGGGTCTCTGCAGGTCTCCACAACTTGCGGATGAGTTCTGCTGCTGCTATTTCAACGACCCTGAGGTTTGGTGGTCGTCTGGGCCTTCGTTGGTGTTGACGCCTTGGTAATTGAGATGTTAACTACCTCGCCTGGTGTACAGGAGGTCGTGGGTTACACCATAATCATCACGGTGGCTGGGAAATGTTAACTACCTCGCCTGGTATACAGGAGGTCGTGGGTTACACCACCATCATCACGGTGGCTGGGAAATGTTAACTACCTCGCCTGGTATACAGGAGGTCGTGGGTTACACCACCATCATCATCACGGTGGCTGGGAAATGTTAACTACCTCGCCTGGTATACAGGATGTGCAGTACTACACTACGTACTACACTATACACAACTATATGCTATACTACTGGACACTCTACTATACAATACACTTCTATATACTACACTATACACATATATACTACACTGTACTATACAGTACACTACTATACACTGCACGATACAATACACTACATTGGTATACACTACTATACACTGCTATACACTATAGTAATGTACACTACACTACTATACACTCCACTACTATATACTACACTAAACACTTATATCTACTATACTATACAGTACACTACTATACAATACACTATACTATACACTACAAAGCTATACAATACACTACTATACACTACACTACTATACACTTATATATACTACACTACACTACTATACACTCCACTATACAATACACTATACATTTCAATATTCTACACTATACACATATATACTACACTGTACTATACAGTACGCTACTATACACTACACTGGTATCCACTACACTACTATATACTACACTATAGTAATATACACTTTACACTACTATACACTACTCTAAACACTTATATTTACTACACTACTATACACTATACTATACAATACACTACTATACACTCCACTGCTTTTCACTACACTATACACTTTACACTACTATCCACTACACTACTATATACTACACTATACAATACACTATACACTCCACTGCTATACACTACACTATACACTGCTATATTCACTATAGTAATATACACTACTATACACTACACTATACACTTTACACTACTATCCAATACACGACTATATACTACCCTATACTATACAGTACATTACTATACACTACACTATACACTTATATATACTACACTACTATACACTATACCACAACATTTACAATTGTTGAGTACTGTGACGTTTCGCTGGTAACTGCATCCAGCATCATCGGGCAATTCGCCAGAATGGTGAGGCTCTGCTCTGGCTCCCGGTCTTAAATAAAAAAATATTTGTAAATGTTGTGGTTTCACGCTTCAACACACCGGTGTGGGGCTAAAGTAGTGAACTATTTTGTCTTTTGTCAACGTGACACTTTTTTGCTGATTGGCCGTGTCGGGTGGTGGAGGGTTACGACACATAAATAACGCGATCTAATCCCAAAATGTTGATTATGAATAAAATTGGTCGCGAAAGCCTGCTACGTGTTAAACTGTGTGGAGTGTGTTGTTGTTACGCTCTTACCACATGCCCCCGACTGGACATCTGTGGGTTCAAGATCTTTCTAGCTCATCGGAATCCTCCTGCTGCAGTCTAAACATTCTCTGTGCCTTGTGTGGGTCTCCTTGGATTACCACCACTTGAGCATTCCACTTACATATAGTTATAGCTGTCAACCCCTTATTACAGACCAAGTCAGACCTTAATGGTCACCCCGTGCCCTTGTGAATCTCAACTTTCGTCCTGCAAAGTCCCATCACAAGGGAGAAACAATCAAAGACACAAAACAATTGTTGCTGCTCGTATCCAAACGGCTGTCCGCCGTATGCACCTGAAAACTCAATTTCCCTCTGAAAACAAAAATAATTAGCATTTTCACTGCTTGTGTTGTGGTTATTGCAAACATGATCCCTTGTATAAAGGTGTCAGTTTTTGTACCAGTTGAAAGGGTAACAACCTACTACTACTGTGGCTACTTTGTTGTTGTCACGCTGCACGATGGGACCGACCGCCGGGACTGGTTTGCTACGGCCTTTGGAGCGGCTTTGCCAGTTTCGGTAGATCGTCTCAGGACCGCTGGATAATGTCGGATGATTATCGTGCCGTGCCGGATAATCAATGATGATCGACGGTATCCCGAGGCAGCAAAAGAGCTGAACGCGGCGCGCGGCCAGCCAACGTGCCGTCTGAATCCGCGTCTCTCTTCTTGAATCCTCAGGTGGGCACGCTTCTGGCGAGCTGGTGGTCACAATGAGCTGGAACTTCCTGACCCGTTTGTTGGAGGAGATATCTTTGCACTCGACGTACCTGGGCAAGCTCTGGCTAACCACGTTCCTGATCTTGCGCATCATGCTGACGATCGTGGCGGGCGAATCCATCTATCACGATGAACAGAGCTCGTTCATGTGCAACTCCCAACAGCCGGGCTGCACGAACATGTGCTACGACACCTTTGCTCCCCTGTCCTACGTGCGCTTCTGGATCTTTCAGATTATCACCGTGGCGACACCCAGCATTCTCTACCTCGCCTTCGCCATACACAGGATACAGAGGTCTAGTGAAGTTACACTATGAGACATCTCCTTTACCAGTGGCAAAATATAGTAGTAGGTTTTTACCCTTTAAACTGGTACAAAACTGACACCTTTATACAAGGCATCATTTTGAGTTGTGCGCCTTTTGGTGTCATCTGGTCCAACACCAATGGAGACTAGGCTCTAAAGAAAGCCGTCTTGGGTTTGGACCAATCAACTTCAAGGACAGTGCATATTATTATCATTATCAGAGTTGTTTCTTTTTGTTTGCATTTTGACTGCTTGTGTTGTGGTTATTGCAAACATGATGCCTTGTATAAAGGTGTCAGTTTTTGTACCAGTTGAAAGGGTAAAAACCTACTACTAGGCCTAGTGAAGTTACGGCGACGACGATAACCGTGATAAGAACGGCGAAGTCCCCCAAAAAAACCTTCATTCCGCTCTTTGTTCTTGCGAGAAGGAGATGTTTAACTTTTACTCCCGCGTCGTTATCCGCAGGTCAGAGAGCTCGCCTGGCGATCAAGGAGGGGAGTTTCCCGACGAGGCCAAGAAGAACGACTACAGACGGCACGACGGGCGTCGCGCTATCAGGGCCGACGGCCTCATGTGGGCCTACGCGCTGCAGCTCGTCCTGCGCACGGTGGCCGAAGCGGGCTTCCTTCTGGGCCAGTACGTGATGTACGGCTTGGAGGTGATCCCCCGCTTTGTGTGCCCCCGCCGCTACCCCTGCGTCCACTTCGTCGACTGCTTCGTGTCGAGGCCCACGGAGAAGACCGTCTTCCTGCACGTGATGTATGCCGTGGGGTGCCTCAGCCTGGCTCTCGACCTGGCCGAGATGTGGCACCTGGGGATGGGCGCTCTCAGGGACGAGCTGCCGGGCAGCCGAGCCAAGCGCCGGTATTGACAGCACTATGAGACATCTCCTTTAGCAGTGGCAAAATATAGTAGTAGGGTTTTACCCTTTCAACTGGTACACAAACTGACACCTTTATACAAGGCATCATGTTTGCAATAACCACAACACAAGAAGTCAAAATGCAAACAAAAATAAACAACTCTGATAATGATAATAATATGCACTGTCCTTGAAGTTGATTGGTCCACACCTGAGACAACTTCAAGGACAGTGCATATTATTATCATCAGAGTTGTTTCTTTTTGTTTAACACATAGGCTTTCGCGACCAATGTTATTCATAATCAACGTTTTTGGGTTTAGATCGCGTTATTTATAAATGTGTCGTAACCCTCCACCACCCGACACGGCCAATCAGTAAAAAGTGTCACGTTGACAAAGACAAATAGTTCACTGCTTTAGCCCACCGGTGTGTTGAAGCCACAACATTTACAATTTGAGTACGACGTTTCGCTGGTAATTGCATCCAGCATCATCGGGCAATTCGCCAGAATGGTGAGGGGCTCTGCTGTGTCTCCCGTTCTTATATAGAGCAGCAGCAGGGTGACGTCATCATTAACTCATTAACTCATCAGGTGCAAAGATTCAAGGGGGGAGTGATTGTAATTATATACTAGATTAGTAATCAGGCTATTGTTACGATGCGAGTTGTAGATTAGTAATCATTTGGAATGTGTTTTATTGTGATTATGCTACATTAGTTATCAGTTAGTGGTTGTTTCCCTTATAAGGAATTGTAATGTATCTTATTTAATATGTAGGGGTTATTACGGGAGAAACGGCGGACGAGAAACACAGAGGTGTGTGCACTCACACACACGGGTGGTCGCACCGACGTCCGCATCCGTGATCCCCCACGCCCCCAAGCCCTCTGAGGGGATCCCTATAAAAGGCGGGGAGCCAGAGAGCTCGAGGCAGTACGACACGAAGCTGACCAGTGAAGATCGAAGACTCGGAGATTAGGCCCTGGGACTCCCCTGTCTCGCTGCCCTTGTCAGGGCCGAGCTGGGTAAGCCAGCGGCGCGGCCCAAGAGCTCCCGGACCTCTGCCCTTGGCAGGGCAAGGCCGGCTTAGCTGGTGCCGAGATCTGTGCTTGCCAGGGCCAGATCAGTCAGCCTCCCGTAGCCCAGTAGAGGAGGACTGGGGAACAGGACAGAGGGCATAGTACTAGGGTGGGTTTCCCATAGTACGGGTGAAGGGGCCGTTACCCCTTCAACTATTGTGCCTGTCACTGAGTTAATAAACAGAGTGTGCCTCAACTCCGACCTCGTCTCCTCGAACTTACTACAAATAATACGCTTCCAGGCCGCACTAAGCCTGTAGCTGTCTGAGCGATTAAAGTTATTTCTGTTTCTCTCAATTTCAATCGATTCTCTAATTAGTCTTTGCCAGTAGTAACTAGTTTTACACAACACTTCCACGTTGTCAAAATCAATTGAGTGTCCCTGTTGGCATGCATGTTCTGCTACTGCCGACAGTTGTGTTTGTGATAGTTTCATATTTTTCTATATAAGAACGGGAGACAGCAGAGCCTCACCATTCTGGCGAATTGCCCGATGATGCTGGATGCAATTACCAGCGAAACGTCGTACTCAAATTGTAAATGTTGTGGCTTCAACACACCGGTGGGCTAAAGCAGTGAACTATTTGTTTCTTTTTGTTTCCATTTTGACTGCTTGTGTTGTGGTTATTGCAAACATGATGCCTTGTATAATGGTGTCAGTTTTGTACCAATTTAAATGGTAAAAACCTACTATACGGTATTGACAGCGTTGTTGTTGTTTGTTACATTGGCGGCATTCCACCGGCGGCATCGGGGCCGGATTGAGGTTTATTGTAGGCCTCAGGCACTTCTGTTTCACAGGCCTTCAGTGGTAATGTTCTACAACTGCTACGGCTGCTAACTTCTGTTGCACAGGCCTTCAGTGGTAATGTTCTACAACTGCTACGGCTGCTAACCCATGTCACTAACTCCCTCCGCTGTCACTCGGATTCTTTCACGCGGCACTTGAAACTGGACGTGCGTCGTCGCTGCCGACACGTCAGAGGTCGCAGCCGGGTACCCGATACCCATACCCTACCCGATACCCGGCTACCCGTACCCGGCCGGGTACGGGTACCCATTTGCGACCCTGGTGTGGCCGGGTACGGGTACGGGTAAGGAATCAAAACCCGTTTGCGACCTCTGGTCTGCATACACTTTGCCAAGACTAGCGGTGAGCATTTAAAAATGCGCTGTTGTTGTTGTCATCAACAGGATTGCGAAGGGCAATCCTCTTCCTCCTCGTCCTCCTCCTCCCGACGCGGCCGAGACGGAGGAGGCCGCCCCCCGGCAGATGGCGATAACGGCGGCAGATGCGTTGCAGCTGCAAGGCTACCTGCGCACGATAGAGCGGCGGCTGGACCTGACGATTTCCCCATTGCCCCGACGGGCCAGGGCAGCGTGGGGACACGGGGAGAGCGGAACAGGGAGAGGTGGGGGAGGCGGAGAGGGAGGACGGCGGGGGTCTCCGGCCTCACACTCGGCCGCGGCGGCCGTGAGCAGAAGCCCCCAAGTGCAGCTCGGCAAGAAACACGAAGCGGCGGCAGCAGCAGCAGACGACGAAGTGGAAGATTCCGGAGAAAAACAAGAAGAGGGCAAGGCCGCCTCTAGGAAGGGAAGGGCTGTCCGATCGGAGAAATATCTACCCATCTCAGTTTAAGTTTCCTTACTCTTTGGTTCTTTCGGTAAAGTCCCGTAGGTGTGAATACATATTTTTGTTTTGTTTTATTTTATTTCTACCCACGTGACTTTACCAAATGAATCAAAGAGGATGGATTCCTGCAGCCACGAAAGCTTCAAATCGCCTTTTAAGTTTCCTGTTGCGAGTTTAACGCCGAGCTATTCACAAATAAAGGTCTTCTCTTTGGGGGGTCAGATCTCGCGTGAGTTGTGGATGTGTCATTGTGCCCCCCACCACCCGACATCAGATTCCCACCACTACAGTACTATACACTACACAACTATACACTATACACTACACTACTATACAGTACACTATACACTACACTACTATACAGTACACTACTATACACTACACTACTATACACTACACTATACACTATAGTAATATACACTACAGTAATATACACTACACTATACACTACAGTACTAAACAATACACTACTATACACTACACTACTATACACTACCATACAGTACACTACTATACACTACACTATACACTACAGTAATATAGACTACACAGCTATACACTACAGTAATATACACTACACTATACACTACACTATACACTACACTACTATACACTACTGTACTATACACTACACTACTATACACTACACTATACACTGCACTATACACTACAGTATCTTCTTGGTTTTTTCGGTAAAGTCACGTAGAAGGGAAATAATAAAATAATAAAAATAAAACATAATAAAATAGTATTTAATTATGTAATATTTTGTTTTATTTTTATTATTTTATTTTTTCCCTTCTACGTGACTTTACCGAAAAAATAAAGAAGATGAATCCCTGCAGTCACGAAAGCTTTAAATCGAAATATACACTTCAGTAATATAGACTCCACACTACACCACGTGACACGATGCTACCGGTGGAGGGGAGGGGCTGTCACGTGCTGGGGGGGGGGTTTGAGGAATGAGGCGATGTGAGCCAATCAGGGGAGGGTGCGCGTGTCACGTGATCAAAGGAATCGCTTGTTTAGCAAACGATTCGCTTGCCCTCGAATCGATCTCCGTTGGATTCCAAGGAATCGACGTTACAAGCCTGCAGCACTTTTCCGGATCGACTCGAAAAGGGGAATCGACCATGAAACCACGATTCACGATCCACAGCTGTTGACTCATCTGCTCCAGCCGAGGCACAGACAATGCGACTACCACAACTACCGCACGTACCACAACTACCACACGTACCACTGCTACCACACGTACCACTACTACCACACGTACCACTACTACCGCACGTACCACAACTACCACACGTACCACTACTACCGCACGTACCACAACTACCACACGTACCACTACTACCGCACGTACCACAACTACCGCACGTACCACTACTACCACACGTACCACAACTACCACACGTACCACAACTACCGCACGTACCACTGCTACCACACGTACCACTACTACCACACGTACCACTACTACCGCACGTACCACAACTACCACACGTACCACTACTACCGCACGTACCACAACTACCACACGTACCACTACTACCGCACGTACCACAACTACCGCACGTACCACTACTACCACACGTACCACAACTACCGCACGTACCACTACTACCACACGTACCACAACTACCACACGTACCACTACTACCGCACGTACCACAACTACCGCACGTACCACTACTACCACACGTACCACAACTACCACACGTACCACAACTACCGCACGTACCACTACTACCACACGTACCACTACTACCACACGTACCACAACTACCACACGTACCACAACTACCACACGTACCAGTACCACCACACGTACCACTACTACCACACGTACCAGTACTACTAGAATTGGTACTACAACTAGTAGCGATCCTACTAGTACCGCTTGTACTCACACTACAACTAGTACTACTGCAAGGCCTACTACAACTAGTACTACCAGTAGTACTGCTAGTACGACTACTGCACTACTACCAGTACTACAGCTACTACCAGTACTACTACCAGTACTACCGGTACTACTACCAGTACTACAACTACTACCAGTACTACAACTACCAATACTACTGGTACTACTACCAGTACTACAACTACTACCAGTACTACAACTACTATCTGTACTACTACCAGTACTACAACTACTACCAATACTACTACCAGTACTACAACTACTACCTGTACTACTACCAGTTCTACCGGTACTACTACGACTACTGCTATCACTACTACCGCCTCTATATCTACGAAAAATACTGCTACCCCTACAACTACCCGTCAGTTACTACTACAACCACTACTCCAACTCAGGCAGGGGT